TTCCCCTTTTATTGTAAGCCGCCCTGAGTCCCCTCAGGGAAAAGGGCGGCCTATAAATGCATAATAAAACAAAAAACAAACAAACAATTCTTGTCTTAATGTGAGGCAGGAGTGTAGCTGGTGACTCTCTTCTGCCTTGCAAACTAGATGCCAGCTGGTGAAATAAGATTGCAAGTTACTTTTCACAGTAAAAAATGCAGCAAAGAATGTGTCTAGTCCCACTAGGAACTGATAACATTTGAGGAAAACAGTCTTAGTGAAATAGGTATAATTATATTTTCTTCTGTTTAATCAAACACAGATTACATGGAAGCTCAGATTCCTTCTGGAACCCTTCCAATTATTCATGCTGAAGAGGGAAAATAAATAGTAGCAAAGGAAAATATAATCAGGCCCAAACATGCTTAGAATTGCTGATGGGAAGGCCTGTGTCAGTATAGCTTAATAAAAAAATCAGGCCCAATCCATCCTTAGATTAGGAAACAACAGAGCTCTTTTGCTATGAGTTATAAAAGAAATATATTGTGTACCAAATATACCATACAATTACTAATTACAAATGGCAGAAAATGTAAATAAAAAGGGGCTATTTTTATCGGTGCTATGAAAATTGTACTAATTGACGAAATGAGTGGGTAGGCATATTAGAAAATATGTGGAAGGTTTCTATCCAATTTTAGAAATAAAATAAATAGCTAGAAATAGAAGGCCAGGCTATGTACACAAATATTTTCCTGGGATTGGAATAGAAATGTAGTAAGTAGTCCAATCCACTCACATTTTGAATAGCCTTCTGTGGATTAATTTGGAGATTTTATACAATTAATGTGTTCTTTTCCTACCTGGCGCCAGCAGAAAACTAAGATGGCACACATGTTGTTTTCCCTACTCCCAAAATCAGTCATTTTGGTTCTGTTTGCTGCCGGGTCCTGGTTTTCGCCTCATTAATGCACAGAAATGGGCCCCACCAAAGGCGTCCACAAGTACACAAGTCTTAAAGTTGCCAAGGTTGGACACCCTGAGCCAGGGGTGGTTCCTGCCAGCTCCCTCTCCCCGCCCATCCGCACATCAAGATGAAGAGCGAGAGGAGGAATTCTGGGAGTTGAAGTCCACAAGTCTTAAAGCTGTCAAGTTTGAACACCCCTGGGTTTTTTTTCCCTAAAGGGTTAGGGGTGCAAGGGTCGTTTAACTTGACAGCTTTAAGACTTGCGTGCTTCAAATGCCAGAGTTTCTAAGCCAACATTTTGGTTGCTAAGCATTATTAAGTGAGTTTCATCACATTTTACAAGTAGGCCATGCCCACCCAGTCACATGACTGCCAAGCCACTCCCACTCGGTCACATGGCTGGCAAGCCANACGACAGAGAATGAGGTGGATGGATGGAGTCACTGAAGCAGTAGGCCTGAGCTTAAATGGACTCCAGAGGATGGTAGAGGACAGGAAGGCCTGGAGGAACGTTGTCCATGGGGTCGCGATGGGTTGGACATGACTTCGCAACTAACAACAACAACAATTTTTTTCATTTGTTTCTGGGAGTGAGCATTGCTGAATTTGATGAATATGAACCAACATTGTAAAAAAAACAACAACCAAACAAACAATATCATCCTTCTGGATCAAGTTAGAAACAAGGCTTAGACTTGCATCCTGGTGAACTAAATGCCAAAGTAAAGCAAAAGAGAAGCATAATCTTATTTTTCCTAGTAATTTGTATTCTAACACCTTTGATATGGGATCAGTAGTGGGTTCCGGATCCCGTTGCAACTGGTACGCTGCAACGGGTCTGGGCGTCCACCACGTGAACATGGGCAGTATGAACGCAGCACATGCATGTGTACTCATTGCCCGCGATGCTCCATGACGCTCCAACTGCTTGGCGGAGCATCGCACAGGCGCCGTATTCTCCATGCGCGAAAGCCTCAATCAGCTCAAATACAGGTAAGGAGGGCAGGTCGGTGGGTGGGCCTTCTGGGGCACTGTACCGGAACGGTACCTGGTGCTCCCAGCAGGCACCAGTACGCCCATACCGGGGCGTACTGGTTGTATCCCACCACTGTATGGGATGCTCTTGCTTCATTTCTCTTTAACATAATTGGTATATCACCATTGTTTATGGAATATTTGCACTGAGGAGGGGATTGTACCTTGGAGGCCTAAATAGCCCCTTCATATTCTACCCTGAAGGGTAGAATATCAATGCTAATGCAAAATGAATAGTTTTTCCTACTCTGCTGCCACTTTTTCTAACTCTATCACTCAGTTACACTGAATGACCTCATTTCTAATATTGCATAAGAGGGAAATATTTCATAAATAATTCATTCATTTCCATCTTTTCTGGTTAAACAGCCCTAATCATAATACATTTTCATTATTTGGGAATTAATTTTCTTGTTGTTTTAGCAACAACCTGTGCATTTTTGAGATACATGGTCTACCTTCTATTTGGGAGTGTAAAACAGCATACACAGCAAACAATCCTGCCTCCATTCCCTCCCCCGCACAAGTCTTGCAAAATAAGTTGGGCTGGGAGGTAGTGACTAAGTTCAAATCTTCTAGTGAATTTCTACAGCTAAGGATGGATTTACATCTATGTCCTGGTCAGAGGTGCTATTCAGACGGTTGGGACCAGTTTGCCCAAACTGGTAACGGAAATCACCGGTGGGCCCGCCCACGCAGCCCGGCTCTAGGCTGTCCTATTTAGGCATGTTTTTGAGGCTCGGTGCATGTGCAGACGGCATGTGTGTGAGCAAAGCATATGTAAAGGCTGGGCACATGTGCGGAAGGGTGTTTGCACCAATGAAGTGGGAGCACATGCGCAAAACAGGTAGACACACACGTAGTGAACTGGTGGTAACAAAATGTGAAACCCACCACTGGTCCTGGTCCTAAATTCAGCACCTTAATCTTTTTACCCCATTGGATCTTGGACTTTTTTTTCAAATTAAAATTATTACTGGATTATTAGCAAATGAATTAGTGTAATTGCCTTATAGGCCATCAGAGAGACCATCAATTTTGGGAGGGCCTATAAGGGTCTATGTGGGCAATGCCAGGCCCGTTCCAACCAGTACGGTCCTACCTCCCTACCAGTGGTGGGATCTGGAACCCACCACTGGTCCTGGTCCTAAATTCAGCACCTTAATCTTTTTACCCCATTGGATCTTGGACTTTTTTTTCAAATTAAAATTATTACTGGATTATTAGCAAATGAATTAGTGTAATTGCCTTATAGGCCATCAGAGAGACCATCAATTTTGGGAGGGCCTATAAGGGTCTATGTGGGCAATGCCAGGCCCGTTCCAACCAGTACGGTCCTACCTACCTACCAGTGGTGGGATCTGGAACCCACCACTGGTAGGTAGGTAGG